GTCCTTGTACAATTAGAGGAAATCTGTTATCTACATGCCACAGTTATACTTGCAGGTGAACTAAGTCAATCAGAATTTCCTAGATGCAAGATTTCCAGCCAGTTGTATTGTTCCCTATGTGTATGATGCATCTGATTTTGTAACCAATTGGATTGTCCCATCCATGATGCTGCCTTCTATTTTTTGGATGCTTCTTCTTTTGTCTGTAAAAATGATATGTCAGTCTTCATTAGGGCTGAGACCTTGTTTATTGGCAAATTTGAGCTTTGCTAACAGATTGATTGTGCTTGGAGCTTGTGCCTCAGTTTACCTTAATTTCAGTTGTGGCAGTATTTATGTAGAAAGTCTTGTTTTCATTTAATCAAAGAGAATGTATATGCTGTTCAGTTGTGTTTGCTTTGCATTTTCTACCTCCCATATTTCTTTATACCTTATTTTTCATTTTTTAATGGGCTATTGTTAGTTCATTACATTAGCATGGGAAGTGGTTTTTTTTAAAAAGGTATTTCTCAACCACTGGATATAAATGAAGTTCCCACTTTTTTGCTGTTATGAATAGTTCTGAATTATGGGGCTTTTGCTTTGATTATATTAGTAGTGGATAGAGTGCTTAAAGCCAAGAAGACTTGAGTTCAAATCTCACTCTTAACATATAATGGCTTTGTGACACTGGACAAGTCACTTAATCTTTCAGTTCTATAGACAACTCTCTAAGACTATAATTTGCTGAAAAATGCTGGCCAGCACTGATAGAGTTCCTTCATCTAGGAGCTCCCTAGATTAGTGAAATCATAGGTTCTAGCCTTAATCTTTCAATATTTGCTCCAGATAGCAGGATAACTGCTCAAATGATATGATCAATTTGTAGTTTTTGTGTGTGTATTATTACTAGATGGCTTTCCAAAAAAGACCACTGAGTGCCTCTGTCCCTACATGCCACCAACATTGAAGTTTGTTAATTATTTTTCCAGTTTGAAGAGTATAGGGTAGTATTATCTCAAAGTTGTTTGAATTTTCATTTTTTCTGATTATAGAGTTTGAACAATTTTTAAATAATTATTCATAATTTGTGTTTTCTCTCTTAAAAATTGTTGCATTATGTGAAGCATTCATCCATTGAGGAGTTATTATCAGTTCTCTACACACATGCGTGCGCACACACACACACATACACACACACACATACCTCCAAATTATTTCTTTTTGATTTTATTTCCCTGTATCATTTTAATTATATATGTATTATATACATGCATCTATAATATGTATATTTACTTTGTCTTATGAAGAAATCGAAAAATATTTCTTCTTTCCACAACTGAAATTTTTTTAAAAAAATTAAAATTGGATGAAATAAGTATATTTGTTTAAATCTAGATTTATTCAGCACTATGTAAAGTGTTTCACCTAAGCCAATTTTTTTCCTGTACTTCATTCCAGTTTTCTTAAAGATTTTTATTGGAAATTGGGTTTATCAAACAATCTCTCGTGTACACTGATTCTACTTTGAGATTCTCTTTTTTGGTTGATTTATTTTTTTCCATTTTTCAATACAAGGTAGCTTTTATAATTATAAATTTATAGTATGTTTTGAAGTTAGCAAATTCTTATTTTCATAAACTATTGTTTTTTCATAATATTATAACTTTTGTTATTTTGTTTACCATTGTAGTAAATCTGTGGATCAATTTTAAGTATTAGCACTTTTGATGCATTTGTTATCCCAGTCATTTCCAAAGGTTATCTCTTCCGTTCATTTCTTCTATCATTTCTGTGAAAACATTTTGCCTTTATAAACTCTTGATAGCTTAATAAGGAAGAGAATAAGCATTTATATATCGTCTATGTATTGTGCCAGGAACTATGATGATTAAGTGCTTTATGAAGATTATCTCATTTGATCTTCTTAGCAACCCTGTAAAGTAGGTGCTGCCTTTATCTCCATCTTGTACTTGAGGAAACTGAGGCAAACAGAGAAATCTAACAAGTGTCTAAGACTGGATTTGAACTCAGGTCTTCTGGACTCCAGACTCACAGCTCTATATACACTATGCCACCTAGCTGTCCCACTATCCAAATATGAAAATATTTTATAGCTTTTGTCATTATTTGCATTTTCTTTTAATTTATAGGAATAGAAATTGAATCTATGATTTCATTGGCATAGGGAACTCTTTGATGAGGAAACTCCCTGTACTAGTGCAGGTCAGCACTTTCTCTGAAACTTAATAGAGAGTTGCCTTGAGTTACACAGCCAGTATATCAGAGGTAGACCTTAAATTTTAGCCCAGTCTTGTGGGCTCTGAGGTCAGTTCGATTTACTGTGCCACACTGCCTATCTTGGTTTTTAGTGACTGTATAGAAAAGTTCATCGTATGTATGTTTACATAACCTTTTGCCAGTCATTTATTTTCTCAGTTTTTCCATTATTGGTCACTCAGATTTAAAAAGTTGTGAATATAATGATTTCAGTGAGCCAAGTAGTAACTTTACTGTAGTGACTAATCAGCAGATGTTTACTGCTTTCCTACTTTGTTCAAGGTACTGTGCTTAGTATTGTGGAGGTGGAAAACCATAAACCCTTATACAACTAAAAGAACTGTAGGGTGAAACTAAGAGTTTAACATACTCAGTATGAATTTAATAAAATGTATTGCAATTCATAGCCAAATAATCAAGTCACTTTGCATCTCTAGTAACCATTGCTATTTTGTATCTCCTTATCTTTGTCTTTTTGTCTTTCACATTTTCCTCTTCCCTGCCTTTCTCCTTAAGCCAAATAAAATGGAGTTGTATCTTTTAAAATTTATTGTGTTTATTGATTAAAGTTCATGGCCCATGTATAGTTTTAAAAACTGCTGAGTTATATATTTTATACTTTTATCCCTGCAGAGAACCCACGAAAAATTCTCAAATTTAAGTCAATGAACACACCCTCCTCTCCCCTCCCCAATAATATTTTTAAATGCATGAAATAAAATACGTAAAGTTACAAAGGAAAGCCAAGGTTAGTGCATTTTTTTAAAAGATGAATTTTTTTTCCTATCCAAGTTCACAGACCCCGTAAAATCAATTTGTACATGGTTCTGAATTAAAGAACCTTTGATCTAAGGTTCAGAACTTGTTTTAGGTGCTGTGGGGCACATAAATATAAGACAAAGTCAAGTCTTCTCCCAAAATAGCTTACAGTTTAGTTTTTGAGACAGAGATAGAATATAGAAAACAATTAGAAAATAACTGTTAAAATGTTTGATTTTAACTATTATTGCAGCAGGAACACAAAATTGAAAGAGATTAGTATGGATTGGAGTAGTTCTAAAAGCTATGTGAAACCAAGAGGGACTTGGGGCAAGCCTTGAAGGATGGGTAGAAATTAAATAGGGGAAAGGAGGGTAATCCCTGGAGAGTAGCATGAGAAAACAGCAGGAATTAACATAATATTTGAGAAGCTAGTAACATATGCCTGAAGGGAACAGACAGTACATTTTAGGGAGAATCAGGAAATGAGATAGGAAAGACATAAGTTCTAGACTTATGTCTAATCATAAGACATAGTAGATTAACGCTAGATTGTAGATCAGAAGAGGAGATTATATCAGATAATCTCGTAGCCTTAAATTTCTATAAATTTATAAGATATCAGCCAAAATCTTGGTTTAGACATGAAGAATAAAAGTAAAAATGTTAAAGTCATCCACACAGAGATCGAAGCCATGAAAAAAAGATGGAATCATCAAGAGAATGAGGGATCTGAAATAAGTCCTTGGGGCTTAGGATAAGAGCCTTGAGGGGTCATACTTCTGGTTATTAAAGAATGGAAATTCATTTCAGCAGGCATGTACTGGAAGACATCAAGTATCTAGAAAAACAAGTAATTAGAGACCCAGGAGAACCAGGAAAGAAGTGTCACAGGACATCAAGAGAGAAATAAGAGGATTAAACAGTCAAATGCTACAGAGAGATCAGAGAATAAGGAGTGAAAAAATAGTATTTATCAGTAAGGAGATGATTTATCAATGGTCTTTACAAAATCAGTTTAAATATCGTGGTTAGGGCAGAAGTTATATTATTAGAATTAAGAAAATGCATATGCCTAAGACCTACTAGTACTGAATATAAGTTGCATCTTTAAAGTAGCAACAGGAAGGTATGACATGGGATACATGTTAGCCGGGTTAAGCAGAAAGTACTTTAAAAAAAAGTCCTCATCATGCTCCATGGCATAAGGAAAAGGAAGGACTCTTTGAACAGGGAAAGATTGAAGATAATTAGAGAAGGGATAATTTAGTGAATAAGGTTCTAGAGGCATTTATAGGATCATAGCTTTAGAGCTAGAATGGACCTTAGAGGTAATTTAGTCCAAGCCCTGTTATTGTTTGGTGCAGTTAGCAAAGTAATCATATGGGCTTAATGTAAGGTAATGCATTTGTCTTGTGGCTTGAGAGTAAGATGATTAAAAACTTAATGTTGAAATAAGAATTTTAAACATTGGTGTTCTGTCATAGCTGCTCAGCCATTTCACAAAATCATCCCATGAGACATTTTGGGGCACTTGAATATGAAAAATCTTTTGCCAGAGTTGTAAAGGCATAAAGTATTGGCAGTAAAGGGGAAAATTTGTAAAGCCACCTGAACCCTGCGTAGTTACAAATTCTTGTCTAACATGGATCATAACCTAGACTGTGGTAGTCCCTAACTAGGCAAGTAGATGTGGATAAATGGATATACTTTTCTGGGAGGTTGGGAAGGGGGAGAACTTTGCAAATATTTTAAAACTTCTCTCAAAATTGTTAAGAGTTGCAAACACCTAAGTTTGCAAGATTAAAATTTATAAGCAGGTCATTTCCAGAGCAACACTGACTCCCTAAGACTCATAGACAATGAAGAGTCCACTGTGGTTTAGAAATTAGTTGCAGAATGCCTATTCTATGCTTTTACAGCTCCTTAACCCCTATCCTGGGACATAAACTAATTCTTTTTTTTTTCTTGTGGACTTTTAGGCCCTATGAGAGAAAGGGAAAGTTAAGGATGCTGGAGCAGAACAATGGATTTCTCTTTCTCTTTCATGCAAGGGATCATGGGAAACACAATTCAGCAACCACCTCAACTCATTGACTCAGCCAACATCCGTCAGGAGGATGCCTTTGATAATAGCAGTGATATTGTTGAAGATGGTGGCCAGACACCATATGAAACCAGCCTGCAGCAAGGCTTTCAGTACCCACCTACCACAGAGGAACTTCCTCCTATTACAAATGGCTATCCACCCTCAATCAGCATGTATGAACCTCAAGCCAAATACCAGACATATAGTCAGTATCCCAATGGGTCAGCCAATGGTTTTGGTGCAGTTAGAACTTTAGCCCCACTGACTATTACCATACTGAAATTTCAAACACAAGACCACATGAAGTTCTGGAAAAACCTTCCCCTCAACAGCCACCACCTCCTCCTTCGGTACCACAAACTGTGATTCCAAAGAAGACTGGCTCACCAGAAATTAAATTAAAAATAACCAAAACTATCCAGAATGGCAGGGAATTGTTTGAGTCCTCCCTCTGTGGAGACCTTTTAAATGAAGTACAGGCAAGTGAGTACGCAAAATCAAAACATGAAGGCAGAAAAGAAAAGAGGAAAAAAAGTAACAAGCATGACTCTTCTAGATCAGAAGAGCGCAAGTCGCACAAAATTCCCAAATTAGAACCAGAGGAGCAAAATGTAAGTGGATCTAACTTTTTGTAATATTTCATATATTCACTGGGACTTATTTTCCTTGAAGAATAATACTGCTGATTTTTGGTTTCTTCTGGAATTTGTTGAAATGTGAAGTGCTACGTAAAAAGTGTCATATTAAGTATCTTGCTTGTTATGCAGCTTCATTGTAAATAGGCTTACTTATTTTGATGGACTTTTGTTGTAGGCTCCAGATTATTCAAGCTGAAATTAAAAAGACAAAACAGTGGTGAATAGTGCCATTTCCTCATTTTTAGACCATCTCAGAATTTTCAGCAACATTTGAAATGTGCAAGAATGGGGGAATCTGTCTTAACATTTGGCTTTCTTTGATTATATGCTTGATAAATTGTTAAATAAATAAATACCAAATTCATTTGCAGAATTGGGTGAGCTGATAAGATATCAACTAAATATTAATACATTTTGATTAAAACTTTGGGTTAAAATTCTTTTTGCCAAATAACATCATTCATGCTGCTAAATAACTTGGCATTTGGGTGTTTTTCAGTATAAATGTACTACGAACAAAAAAAAAAGATAACGAAGCAACTTTGGAGTAGATAGCCTCTAAAGTCTCTTCCAGCTCCAAGTATATGATCCTTTGAGCCTAATCAGAATTAAGAGTTTATTTTTGTTACTGTATGACTATCTTTTCATGGAGTATGAGTTTAAGTGGTTGGTTAGTTGCTTTGGTTGACCTACATTGATTTAGGAAAATGTCCATATTTGTTATGGCAACTATGATGGTTGCCTGCCTTAACATACCAAAATATATGAGCGTGACAGTTTCTAATCTAATCTAATGTCTAAGTCTGTAACGTTTTATTCATGGAAATGATTATTTATTATAGGTTTATTTTGTTCTTGATAGAAAAGTTTTTTCCTTCACTGAATTAAAATTAGAACCCCTCTAAGTTTGGGTATGGGTCTAGAATCTCAACTAAATGACTAGCAAACAAGCATTTTTAAAAATTGTGTTGATAAATTTTGTTTCAAAGCATCATACAAACTCTAGCAAACTCAACAATTCAGTCCTTAATATGTATAATGCCCCCCAAATAGTTTAGTAAAATAACACAAGGATAATTGCAACCTGTAAGTGCAGCCTTACTCTTTAGTAGTTAACTTTTTGTTTACCAGTTTTTAGTAGTTAGTAGTAGTTTAGTAGTTAGGGGTGTTTTTAGTAGTTTAGTTTTGGCAGTTCACAAGTATGTATTTTTGTTCTCCCACCATATTCCTCAATTTTTCCCTAGCTGTCTTATCTTGTGACTTCAGCTTTCTTATCTGTAAAGTGAGAATTTGAAATTCTGTGATTCCATAAGGCTAGGGGGTGAACTTAAGTATCAGGATAAAGTTACTGTTTACTAAGTATTATATTTTTTATACTTTTTGCATGATCAGAAGCTAGGGAAAGAGTATAGTGATTAGAATCACAAACTGTTAGAACTAGAAGAAACCTTTGAAATCATCTAACTCTCCCCTCCCATTTTACATATAGGCAAACTAAGTCCAAGAGCTATAAGAGTTTGCAGTATTTACACTGCGATAAGATTTCCAAGTCTGTCCTTTCCTATTGCATTCTGATTTCCATCTTGTCTCATTTATTCTTATAATGTTAATTATAAAATTTTTTTTAATGCTGATAGATTTTTTTTAAGTATGCTGGTCCATTTTCCTGCCTTAGTAACTGCAGTGTGCAAAAAAAATTCTTTTTCAGGGTGTTTTAATTTCTCAAGGTCATCATTCTGAATATTAGTTGATATTATGGTTTTACTGCTGTGTAGATGTAGAAGGTATTAGGGAAGTGGGTCAAATGATACTGGATCAACTTACCCTGAAAGCTGTTTTTATTATTAATCACAGAGACTTAAAAAAATTTCTTTTCCAGTTCCAAATTCTCTACCTTCCCCCTCCCCTACCCCCTACTCAATGACAAGGCAAAAAACCAAAACCTATTACAAATATGTATAGTCATTCAAAACAAATTTCTGCATTAGCCTTTCTCCTCACCCACCCCGCTAAAAAAAAGGGCAAGAAGAAAATATGCTTCAGTCTGCACTCTGCATCCATCAGTTCTCTATCTGGAGGTGGATAGCATGTTTTATAGTGAGTCCTTTGGAATTGTTGTGGGTAATTGTGTTGATCAGTTACTAAATCTTTCAAAGTTGGTTATCTTTACAATATTGCTGTTACTATATAGACTGTTCTCCTAGTTCTGTTCACTTAACTTTGTGTGAGTTCCTACAGGTCTTCCCAGATTTGTCTGAAACCACCCACTTTGTCATTTCCTATAGCACAACAGTATGGTATCACAGTTATATACCATGATTTATTCAGTCATTCCTCAATAGATGGGCATTCCCTTAGTTACTAATTTTTTGCTATCACAAATAGAGCTGCTATAAATATTTTTGTACATATGAGCCCTTTTCCTCTTTCTTTGTTCTCTTTAGAGTAAAGCCCTAGAAGGAGTATTGCTGGCTCAGAGTGTATGCATCCTTTAAAAACTTTTTGGGCATAGTTCCATACAGTGCATTAGTGTACTTGTCTTCCCCACATCCCTTCTAGCATTTGTCATTTTCCCTTTTTTGTCATCTCATCCAATCTGATGGGTGTGAGGTGGCACCTCAGAGTTATTTTAATTTTCATTTTTCTAATTATTAGTGGGGCAGCTAGGTGGCACAGTGGATAGAATGTCAGGCCTAGAGTCCTGAAGTTCAAATCCTTAAGACCTGAATTCAAATCAAGCCTCAGACACTTCCTAGCTGTGATGCTGAGCAAGTCACTTAACCCTGTTTGCCTCAGTCTCCTCATCTGTAAAATGAGCTGGAGAGGGAAACAACAAACCACTTCAGTATCTTTGCCAAGAAAACTCCAAATGGGGTCATGAAGGGTCAGACTTGACTTGACACAACTGAATAACAAATTGTTAGCTATCTAAAGTGCTTTTTTCATGTGGCTATTAATACCTTTTCTTCCTTTGAAAACTGCCTATCCATATCTTTTGACCATTTATCAATTGAGGAATAGCTCTTATTCTTATAAATTCGACTCAGTTAACTCTTATAGAAATGTGACCTTTATGAGAGAAACCTGCTACAAAGAGTTTTTTCCCCTCAATTTCTTTTCTTCCAGTTTTAGCTACATGGGTTTTGTTTGTACAAAAACTTTTTAATTTGATATAATCAAAAACATCCATTTTACCTCCTCTGAACTTCTCTCTCTTCTTTGGCCATAAACTCTTCACCTATCTATAGATCCAGTCCAATCCAATAAACATGTATTAAGTGCCTACTATGTTCCAGACGCTGTGTTAAGTGCTGAGGAAATGATCAATGAAAAAAAAAAAGTCTGCCCTGAAGAAGCTTCCAGCTAATGAGGAAAGAAAGGGTGGGAGGGACACTGGGGAGCAGCCTATGCAAAGTAGAATGAGCTGAGTCAAGTCTGCTTTCTGCCCTCTATAAAGGAAAGCATTGGGAGGAGTTTGGTACTCTTATCTTCCAGCCCTCTAGTCAGAGGGGAGAGGAGGCTGAGACAGGTGGTGTCAGTCAAGGCTCAAGTTAGCAGCATGGTGGTAATTTCTTCCCTGCTCCATCAATTTGCTTTATCATCTTTTATGTCTTAAGTTGTGTGCTAATTTTGACCTTATCTTGGTATATAGTATAAGATGTTGGTCTATGCCCATTTCTGCCAGATTTTTCTGCCAGTTTTCCTAACAGTTTTTGTCATCTAGTGAATTTGTGCCCCAATCACTGGGATCTTTGGGTTTATCAAACACTAGATTACTGTGTTTGTTTGCTTCTTTCTCTATATTGTGTACTTAATCTGTTCCACTGATCAACCTCTCTATTTCTTATCCCAGTACCAAATTGTTTTGATGATTATAGCTTTATATTGTAGTTTGAGATCTGATAACTTCTAGTGTCTTTACAGTTTTTATATTAATGCCCTTTATATTCTTAATGATTTGTTCCTCCAGGTAAATTTTATTATTTTTTTCTAGCTCTATAAAGTAATTCTTTGTTAGTTTGATTGGTATGGCCCTGAACAAGTAAATTAATTTTGGTGATGTCATTTTTATTAAATTGGCTAGAGCTACCCATGAATAGTTACTATTTCTGTAGTTATATTTAGATCTGTCATTATTTGTATAAATTGTTTTGTAATTGTGTCCATAGAGTTCCGGTGTATGTCTTGGAAGGAAGATTCCCAAGTATTTTATACTGTCTGTAGTTATTTTAAATGGAATTTCTCTGTCTCTTTTCCTGTATTTTGTTGGCGATATATAGACATGTTGATGACTTGTGCGAGTTTCTTTTATAATCTGCAACTTTGCTGAAGTTAGTTGTTTTCAGTTCAATTTTTAGTTGACTTTCTAGGGTTCTGAAGATAAACTGTCATATCATCTGCAAAGTTGATGGTTGTGTTTCCTCTTTGCACGTTCTTAGTCCTTCTGTTTCTTTTTCTTGTCTTACTGCTGTAACTAGCGTTTTTAGTGCAATATTGAATAGTAATGATGATGGACTTCATTGCTTCACCCCTGATCTTACTGCCTTATACTAGCTTATCCATCCCCATGACAGAAAAGTGCTGCTTCTTGGTTTTTGATAAATGCTACGTAATCATTTTAAGGAAAGCTGTAGTTTTCCTGTACCTTCTAGTGTTTTTAACATTAACAAGTGTCATATTTTGTCGAAAGCTTTTATTGCATCTGTTGAAATAATCCCATGGTTTTTGTTTTTGTTATTGATATGGTGGTCGGTTATGTTTATAGTTTATCAATTCAGCCTGGTCATACTGTATGACCTTTGTAATAGATTACTGTAATCTCCTTGTTAGTGTTTTGTTTAAAATTTTTGCATCAGTATTTATTATGGAAATTGGTCTATGGATTTCTTTCTCTATTTTGACTTTCCCTGGTTTTAGTTATCAAGACCATATTTGTGTCATAGAAGGAATTTTATAGGGCTGCTTTTTTACCT